CACTGTGTTACTAGGCATACATACGTAAATGTCCATGTAATACAAACACATTTTGTGCCGAAATTCGACTAATGGCCTAAGCCGTGCTTTCGCCAGCTTTCATCTGTTCTGATAATTTTCTTTCCCCTAATTACCGAATTATCCTCACATGCATACTCGTCTAGGACGAATTAATGGTATAAAGGGGAATTCGAAAAAAAACCATCGAAACGATGCTACAAATCTTCGATCTCTGATTGAAATATGAACGTAAGCGCATTCTTTCAATCAGGGCCTATTCTGAAGCGGTTCGAGTATGACTTAGTTAAGCTTAGAGTGGTTTGTTAACAATTTCTGGTACTTTGTTGACAGTATGCACATATTTTATATATGCGTTTTTGAAAAAAAGTTATGCGTTTATTCATACCACAACTTTTCATTAGGTTATCGTTGTTAATGTTATTACTCTTCTTCTTGAAATTAAACAAATACAAAATGTTTAATAATTAAATTGTTTAATAAATAACAAAACGTTACATTGTAGTTGGGCACGTGTTTTGTGAATGTGCTCTTTGTGAAAAGTGTATACGTAATATAATGTAATACAAATAGTGAGATGCATACAAATGTAAATTATGCACAAATACATAGTCAAGCGCACAGGGTCACACATATATATATATAGCACAGTGTTAACAGTGTTTATTGATGATGAAACTGTTGCAGATGCTATTGCCACAAATACGTGCCTCAACTCGACTGGCAACGGATCTTAGGGGATTGCAAAATTAAATCCTTTCTCATACAAACGCACACACCAATCACATGCACAGATATTTACAAACGGGTACCTATGTAAACGTTAAGTGAGCGAAAGAGAGACTTTGGCGGAATGTTAAAACTTAAATAAAATACATAAAAAAATAATGAAAAAAAAAAAAAAAAAACGTAGCAAAAAAAAAAGGGAAAAAGAATGAAAATGGTAGAAGCAAACCAGAAGGGGATGCAGTTAATTTAGCAACTAAAAAAAAAAAAAAAAAAAAAAAAAAAAAAATTGCTGCCAACGGTATTAAACGAGTCAAGGGAATGATTGTTTGTGTGATGGGGGAAAAAGCTGCAAAAGAAAAAATTGCAAAAAAACTCATTCAAGGTATGCAAGTATTTGCTTTACAGTCATTCTTTAACACATATATAGCATATATATATATATATATATATATGTATGTATGTATAAATGGTCAATGTCAGGGCAGAGAGAAGTTTATAAAGTTACATAAAGACCAAGGCTTGATGCAGTAAAATAGGGTAGAATACTAGCGATAGTGTATAATAATGTTGTTATTGTTTTCATAGTCTGTGATATTGTGCGGACGATGACATGTTGAATCAACATGGTGAGCACACAAGTAAACAGACTGTCATTGCAATTGAGCACGTTTTCGGGATGTCGTGTAATGAACTGTACTCAAATTACAAACACCCATCATAGTCATCATCATCATCATCATCATCATCATTGTTAGCCCTTTACATAACGTCAACGGTTAGTCTAAACGAAAGTCTTGTGCAGCAAACAGTAGTCGCAACAGCAGCAGCAACAGCAATAGCAGTAGGCTTTCAAGTATTTAAACAGACATATTACAAACACTGCTTGAACCGTATTTCAACGTGTTCTCACCGTGTAGAGCCAGTCTATACTAAAATAAAGGCAAAAAACTTTACGTACATAAATCTCTGCTTTAAATGGTATAATTTGTTCATTTCCTGATGAAAAGCTGTTCGCTTCATTTAGTAATTCCTCCATATGTCTTGGCCACACTGTATATACATGGCTTAGATAATGTGTACACTTCTCTACATTTGTTCAGCTCAGCAGGAATACCCAATAACCATCAAATTGCATCAAAAAGCATAAAATGTGTGAAATATTTTGCCATTTAATAACTACTACAGATGCGCAAAATTATTGTTTGCTTGTCTTCATCATTTCGAAGAGGGGTCGAGAGAAAGCTCACAAACTGTATAATGCCGACTGTAATTAAGAGAATTTTACCTCTTTTCTCTGTATGGTCTAAACAGACACAATAAGTCATTGTTATCATATTAAATGACAAATAAAATCGCATTTCATTTGTTATCTGACATTGACATGATGTTTAAAGAATGATTTATATCAGATCTTTGTAATAATTTTCCAAAAAATTACTACAAAAATGTTGCAAATCGATTATCAGCATAACTTTAGATAATCTCTAGTGTTAGAAAGATGCAAGAGGCTACGGAGGATTACCCAGTTATCATCCAGACATTACATTATAATGATATTATACTTTCACGACGACAGATGGGAGTTGTCTTCGACTAAAGTCCTTAAGAAAATAAATAAACAAGAACAAGAAAATAAATAAATGAAAACTACAAGAGTAGAGCTAAGTTTATGGAATGAAAGTCTCGAAATGATTTTAATAACTTGGCTTTTACTTATTAAAAACAAGGTCACTACTTCGCTTTGGCCCCACATTTAGTTTCCATGCCCTGCATTCAACCTTTTAAGTATAGGAAGGTTATCGGTAAGGAAGGAGACGGGAAATCGCTTTTGAAGCCCGAAAAATTGTCTTCGATTAGGGCTTTTGTTTTTTGGATCCTAGCTTTAATGGTGGACGAACCGCTGTGTTATTGAAAAACGACAGTGGAATTCGCTACCAATAAGACCGCAGGTAAGAGAACATAAAAAAACAGACTTAACATACGATTGTCCGATCAAATGTAATTCTAGCAAATACAAAGAAGTATATAAAATATGGGGAATTGTAACCACATTGAATGAGATAAGTTAATAGAGAGACCATGTAAGAATAGAGCATAATTCCTTGAAGTTGAAAGAGATAAAGTATGTAGTGAATAGTAACCACAGGTAATAAAATTCAATCAAAAGAACTCATACACAATAAGCCGTTATAGTGTAGGAAATATCAAATAAAATCCAAGGTTTGAATTATTCGAACGTGAATCGAAAATCAAGTACTACCTCCTTCTTATTACTCGTTCGCAGTGAAGATAAGAGAAACTATATAAGCCGATGACCCAAACCCGGCAATTGAGTGATGTGTGTGAAAAGAACACAAGGAAATCTACAATCAGCCGAACCCCCCTTCTCTTCTATTCCTTACGAAGGTTTCGCCTGAAGCGATTTCTTGTACAATATTAAACTCAGAAATCAAATAAATAGTATTAGGGATTTTATCTGGTATTGTCGTTAAGGTGTAAGTATAACGAGTGAATTTGTACCTTAGACGGCATTTACATTAAACATGACCTCAACGGCTTTAACAAATGATTTCACTTAAAATCACCAACGTAGACGTTTCATTTAAATCATTCAGCGGTTAATCTTGACCTGCAGACAATACCCCTTGCCGCACGGTGAATAATGAAGTCCGGCTGCAACCGAGTTTTTTACACTCGTTATCTGTTGGCTTATAAGATTTATTACCGATTTAGGCAATAAATGTTGCTGTGGACATGGTCGAGTTGTTCTTTTTTGCAGAGGTTCTGTAAGGTCACCCATAGAAATGAGTGAAAATATTTATTAAATTATGTCTGTTGTGTAGTTCATGAGCAATTAAAACACAATACTTTTTCTTCCTTCCTTTCCTATCCTGTTTGCCTTCTTACTTTATGTTCTATACTATAGATGTGCGCTCTGACTGATTTTCAATATCAAGCTGCTTGCAAGAACTTTCAATGGTTTTGACAAACTTCGAACGGAGATCATGCGACCGGAAGAATGTCTCCCATAGGCAGACGGGCACGCAAGCTTAAACTGATTCGTAATGAGATTCTGAACGTAATAATAAACCTTCTACTTGTTATATACATTCGCAAAAACCTAATATATCGTGGACCACAAATGGTGTTAGACGTAGAAGGAAACCAAAAAGCAGTCGGAATAATTCTTAAGCGAAAACCAGGGACGAAAGAAGGCAGTTTCTATTCAGCAGAGCTAACCTTTAAATTGGTTTATCTTTCGATGACGTCATATTAACAGTAGTTGCGTTACGGATCGCGCATGAAACTATTGAATATCTAAAAAAAAAAAACAGTTATCCAAACGAGAAAAAAAAATGTGATGATATAAAGCAAAAACCTAGAGACCTACGAAAATGTTTACAAACAAGGTCGACAAAATTTCATTGGTGAAGTCATTTCCATATTTTACCCATAATTCCTTACCTATAATTCAGAAGGGATTTGTTCTTTTTTCATGTCAAACACAACATTTTCACTGAATTAAGATTTTCGTCTTATTTTTATACCCACCACTGTAAGATGGAGGTATACTCATTTTGTTTTTTGCCATAATGTATGTAACACCGAAAATGAATCTTCAGAGACCCTGTAAAGTCTATATATATTTGTGATCAGCTTGAAATTCTGAGTTGATGTAGCCATGTCTGTCCGTCTGTGGATATATTGTGCTTGTTGTTGGCACTCTCCGGGTAGCAAAAACGAAGATATTGACTTCAAATTTGGTAGGAACATTTGAAATTTCTGCGCGCAGCTTGGTACTGAAAATGGACAAAATTGATTGAAGCGTAAACTGAACGCAGCTCTGTTTTTTTTTTTTTTAACAAAAATTTTTAAATTTTTGCTCGCTATTCGGAAATTATTAAAGTTAGAACATTGAAATTTTACACATTCAAGTTTAGGAAACAGTCTACTCCTTACGTGGAAAAATGGAAAAAATCGCTCGTAATTAAATGTTTTTTTTTCTTAATGATACCAGTGATACAAATATCAAATAAAGAAATTTGGAGAGTAGTATGCGAAAAGCATAGTAGTGGGTGTGCGAGATTCGGTCCCAGCCGAATATAACTTTCTTACGTGTTTTTATGGTATCAGCACAACATACACTTATCCTTTCAATCTTTTCACCTTAACGCTATTCAAACATGAAATTTTTTTTTTCATTTTCGTTTTCATTTGATGTTCAATTTTCGTTTTTTCTTTTTTTTTTTCAGTTTAGTTAATCAATCGATGACTGATGCTGGACAAGTTCGCTTAATATTACGTAAAGCTTTGAGTGTATGGGAACGTAGCTCTAAATTGACATTTCGTGAAGTGTATAGCGATCAGGCGGATATACAAGTGCTCTTTGCCAGGTAAGCATTAAATATGAATATAAGAAAGCAATGCACGCACTTATTCTTATCATAAACTCTTCCACAAAATGGAACTTAAATGTTGAACAATAAAATATCACTATAAAGAAAATGTTTAAAGTAGAAAAAGCAAAACGAAAAAAGGAAAAAAAAAAACAAAACAACATACGTTCATAAAATGCGAGAAAAAGACTTACGCCAAAATTCCAACGATTTAATGGTTTGCACAAGCAATGCAAACAGCACAACATTCATACGCTGCTTGGAAAGATAAAAAAGGCGAAATGTTAATAATGCACACACACGCACAAAAAGTCACAATAATAGTAAAACTATTACTTGAGCTATAAACTAAATAAGATTTTATAAAAAGAAGAGGAACCTTTTGCTTGGCTTACATCGAACATTTTCGCATTTATCGTTAGATTTTCAACGCTTTATATAGAAATACGAAAATGTACTGAAATCATGAAAATTCGTATAAAATTCGTGAAACGTGAAAGAAAACCAAAATAAAAAGAGTTATGTCCACCCTTTAAATCTTTCAACAGAAGTAGATGTCTTTGTCAGCGTTCTCATCCCGTCCCGAAGTTATCTTTACACTCCACAACATACTACCGCGACTCGTCGTCTTTTCATCGTACTGCCTGTCTTTGAAACGACCTACCAGCGGTGCTCTTTCCTACCGTGCCCGATATCTTCACTTTCAAGTCGAACATTCACGAACACGACTCCCTTTCTTTATCGTACTTTTTCTACAACTCTTCCTGATCGCTATCGTGCACGTACAGGAGGCATCCTCTGATTGGCCCCGTTATAGAAGAAGATAAAAAATTGAAGAGCGGATTAGGTATCATAAAATAGGCGTAAAGCTGATCGGAAATTAATAAAAATTGTATCTCTTAGTTTTTATGAACTGTAGGCGAACCGGCATAACTGATTTATAGGCTTAGGTTGATCAAAGTAAAAAAACTCGATTTAAAAGGCGATGCTAGCTTGTTAACTTCTTCTTTCTTAACTTTAGCATTTTCGAGGCGATAGAAGAATCCCTTTTCCACATACAATTAAAAGGTTAAATCAGTTATTTCTTCCTTGTCAAAGGAGCTGCACACAAAGCAAACAAATATTCTCCTTAGTATTCGTTGGTTCAAATCTCACACAAAAACCTAAAAACGCGGGATCGCACCTAAAAGAGATCTACAGTTGATGTTTTTTTCTGATGCCAATGTCATAGCATTTTAACGAACCACACCAGAAGGAAATAGAAAATGGAGCTTGTTACGAAATTTCCGAAATAAATTTTACTTGATATAAATTAAAAATAATATGAACAATGGCAAAATCGCTAATAAATTAGAAAGTGACTATACGGGTTCTGTTGCTCTAATGCTCTTGCGCAGGTGGTTCGTTTTTAAAGAAATTGTTTTGAAAAAATATTGAACAACTCTAACCCCAAGTTTATAAAGCCGATTAAAATCTTTACTTTACAAAAGGGTTTGATCTTTCGTAAAGAAATTCAAGCAAACGACGGCTAATGCGGTTTTTACAAGATAGCATCACTTTGTACCGACGACGTTTGATATGCTCACCAAAATTTTAAAATCGTAAGCACAATTTCGGTGGACAGAAAGACGAAAAGGGGCAAAAATCGATATGGTTGAACAAAAATCTCCCCCAGACTGGTCGAGGATACTCATAATATCGGGCAGGACGACAAATCGCATATTTGATATCATTTTACCTGGAGTACTGCTACGCGAACAATGTAAGGATTCAAGCCTAGAACTTTCATGCTTTTCCTAATTGTGGAGCAACCCATGATTTTCTATATAAACCGGACATTTGTAGGTGAAATCCTATGACTAAAAAAGGGATAAATTTGAATACAAGTGGGATTACCAACCAATACTTTCAACTCGTGTTCGTTACTTTAGCACACCTGCAATATTCATTCCCCCTTCTAACGCCGATTAAGAACGTTATTGCTTTATAAGAATTTGAGGAGTCTTGCATAAGATGTAGAAAGCAAGATTAAAATTATATTCGACCATTCATTCGTTTCTAAATATGATCGAAATAGCTTTGCCGGAACAAGATTGCAGCACTCAAAAGACTTGGCAGGCAAAGATATGCTTTATAAAATTTCTATTTACTAACTGTTTCAAAAGAGTTGACTAACCATATATATTGCGTTATAACGGTTGCAGCGAACATCAACTATTTTATTTCTATATTTCTCTTGCAAAAAACTCTTGTGTCGATTATCTGCTTGAACACGCGCTATACTTACTTACGTTCGCTGTATATGTTATTTTCAGCATAGCTTATGTGTACGGGATAAATGCAATTTATTGTGCATTCAACCCCGTTTAGATTGTGTGCTTTGAAAATTCTTACGTGTAATCTCTCCATGCACAACACATAATTCAAGTCTGTCTTTTTCTGCTTAAATGCTTTTTCTAGGTTTTTAGTTTTTAACGCATATATATAAATATATAAATATATACATATATATATATATATATATATATATATATTTATTTATTTTTTTTTTTTTTTCTCACCATAAACTTTTCATAAGGCAATGTAATTATAAAGTATTGAAGCATTCAAAATTGATTTGAATTTTTCATAAATTATTTTTCAAAATTGTAAATTAAATCAAAAATTTTTAAATTACTTCAACATTAATAATCTGTTCTTTCATAAGGGTTGCGTTCCCCGCCGGATATTAACAGCATGTTAAAATCAATCCTTCGGGCTGTGTAAATTGAATTGAATCTTAATAATGTAGATAACATTTAACTTTTTTCGGCCGTATAAGGGTGTGAAACCAGTCCGCTCCTTTGCTTTCTTCATTTTTTGCATGCAGATGAATGCTTTGCTTTGCTTTGCCTTCAGCAAGGGATATTACGAAGAGATTATGAACCGTTCTACCTAAACTTCCATATATCAGTGATTTTGAAAGATTCGCAACCTAAAGTTGGAAACGTCCGCCTTTTGCTCCAATTGTATTAGGAAGCGAACTTAAAGCACTTAAAGTGACCTTTAAAGTGCAACAAAAGGTTAAAAAGACAGCGAAATGTTAGACTCACTTTAAGAACTAAATTTCTTTATCAACATTTATTTATTTGCTTGAATGTTTGTAAGCTTAAGCCTCCGAAAATTTTATATACATTCATATTAAATAATTAGTTATGATTCGCACCTAGCAGAACAAAGTAAAAAATTTCAAAATTATCAGAAGCCATAATGCCTTATTCCAAACTCAAGAGAACACGATATTAATGATAAAGTGTAGGGGAAAACCTCCGAGTGATTGGTTAAATTAAGAAAAAAGGTTACTGACTATGATATTATCTGCAGTTATTAGAAACACTTTGTTGCGTTCTTTTTTTAAATTTTGTTCAACCTTTAGGTTATTCGGGATGTATCTATCACACACACACACTCGAACGTTATCTATAATTTTGAATTGATAACTCATGTGTCTAACATTAGATTTCTATCTCAAATCTCGCGATCTTTGTATCTGACAACGTGAGCTACTGCAAGCAGAAGATGATCGGGTTTACAAAGGCACGCTCATCCAACGGAATGTGCATATACCAACTCTTTGAATTGCTTAAAGATGATAAAGAATAAAGTAGCAAAAGTTTTTATTGAGAACATAAATTTTTAAACCGTTTTAACACATTGCCTGCCGTGGGCATTACGTTGAACTTCAAAAACCTTAAATCCTGGCATACAATTAAAATATTCTAATCTTTTGCTTACATTTGCCGAGTCATGGCCATCTTCTGTAGTAGCTCTTTTACGAGAATAGCCCGCTTGAAATTACAAGAACGGCCGTCTGGTTATATCAAATATCTTCCTATCTTTAGCGAAAAAGCCAACAAGCTCGTTACAAGAACTGCAGAATATGTTCTACATATTAGATAAGGAAAACAAGTGCATACATATGAAAAACTTGCAAGACACCGCTACATGTTGCAGAACGCTTCCAAAAGTATCAACCCAAAATGACACTAATTTTATAATTCATTTGTAAATATTTTGATTTTCACCCGGTGTCAGAGGAACTTTTCTTGCAAACATTAGCGGTAGGTAATGCATTGACAGGATGATAACATAACAAGAGATTACTTATCTTACAAAAAATATAATTGCAATGGTTTCTTCAATGTTGACAAGGAGATTACAAGGGCTCAAAAAGAGCCTTCTGTAGCTAGAAAATTTATAAATTGCCCTCATGATCTTTACAGCTCGATAGACAATCATGACTTGCTAATCAATATCTAGTATGCGTAGAGTGCCTTTAATTATTAAATTCGAAAAAAGATTATAAGAGAGACGTTGCATGCTTTATGTATAATATAGTAAAGTCAAATGGTTAAAATCAGAAAGACAGATCAGAAAGACATGGGGAGAGAGAGAGAACAAAAACAGTGGCCGCAGTCTGAGATATGCATGTGTGTATCCGAGCGTCTTGCGTTTACCAACTAAGCATTTACTAAAACTACGGCCAGGTATGATCTGAGATTTGAACCCGCGAACATTGACTTGGAAATCGTGTCAACTCGGGTAAGCAGCAGCAGTAGGGTAAACTGATGATTGTACAAATGTTAAGAAATCAGCTTGTGCTCTACTTGTCAATTTCATCAGCAGTACTTGCAACGATGTCACGGGAGTATTGCGCATTAAGGAGCCATAATTCGATTTTTGTGCATGTGAAACAATAAGAACAAAAACTTTTCAAAGTCAAACAAAGTGTGTGTATCCACAGTATCTAATAATAATGAATAATAAATAATAAATAAATAGTAATAAATAAAATGTAAATAAGAATAATTAATTATAACCAAAATAATAAATAATTGATAATAAATTGATGATAAACAAAAAATAGCAAATAGTAAATAATGAATAAAAATTTTTCGTAGAATATGAAATTAAAGTGTATTAGAAAAACCAAAAAGTTGTTAATTTTTTTCATTTTAATAGACGTGATCACGGCGATGGCTATAAATTTGACGGTCCTGGACAAATTTTAGCACATGCCTTCTATCCGGGCGTTGGACGGGGAGGTGATGCTCATTTCGATGACGACGAGAATTGGTCTTTCGGTGCCAGCAATACAGAAGAGGGTAAGTGATACGAAAAACCAAAAAAAAAAAAATAAAACTAAAAGAAAACATAAACCACAATCCGAGGTTATGGGGTGATACGGAAAATAATGTTCTATCAGAAATAAATAAAAATAAAGAAGCTTAATAAAAGATTTCGTAAATAAATTGAACAAAGAAAGGAAAAAAATTTAAATCAACAACAGTAATAACCGATGACGGGAAAAATGGAATATTTGTAGAATTTCACACTAAACATTATTGTGACAAATAGATTTTCGCTTTCATTTCAAAACATGTAAAAAAACTATAATGGGGCACGGTCCGAGTACTATGCATTACTTGGCTTAATACATATAACAAATTTTCTAAATAAGGCCTTATTTTGAAAATGACCGAATGGGTGAGTGGTCCGGTCTGAGCCATTTTCAATAGCCTTCGCCCTCGGGCTTCGGGTCTAAGTGTACTAATTTTCATCAAATTACCTAAAGCTTTCCTGCCTGGGGGTTGAATGCAAGAATACAAGGCGAATAGATCGACAGAAGGGTATAGAATCACTTCCTGAATCCAACGGTATAATAAAATGTTAGCCCATCTGAAGTCTTTCGGGGTATATCCGTATAAATTTTACTTTTATTAAGAAGAGTGATTAGTTTTACGATTTATTCTAGAAGTAAATACGAAAATATAGACGAACTAAGGTGTATACGAAATTTAATGGCATCTTGAAGTAAGTAGAAAAAACTCGTAACACTTGTTATCAATTCTCAGTACGTAGATAGAATAATCGAGACTCGTTTCGGCAATGGTCCTAGACGTTCTTTACATTTATGTGACTGCCAGGTTTTAATTTTGGATTCATTTTTCACATTTCTTAAGGTAATTGCCAATCGTCGTTACCTAAGAAATCATCATTTTCAAATTGTTATGGCGTTAAGAGCTTCAACAAAGTAGTCACGACGTACGACGGAGAGCTAAAAGAATGAACACAAGAACGGATAGAACAGTTATATAAACGAATAGAGAGATGGGTTGACCAGTTTAGGCGTGGACATAACGGACGGACTAATTCAAAATATTAAACTGTACATATTTCTAATAACCTTCAAGTGATATTTCATTGATTTCCAAAACTCGGAAATTTTCTTTTTTTATTAATTACTTTCTAAGCTTATCTGCTTACATCCTAGGCTTATCTATTTTTCTATGTTGAACTAAAAAAGCCAAATACTTACCACATCTTCATTTAAGCTGTAAATGGAAAACCTTCTGTGTTAAGAGAATTTAAGAGGAGAGAAGATAAGAAATTAAATAAAATGAAAGAAATAAGTGAGAGAACGTTATAGTCGGGCTAGGCCGGCTATTAAATATCCTATACCGCATCATCTAACACAATTGTTACTTTCGCCAGAGCACACAAGAATTATACCTCAGCAGAGTTAACTTTTATATCAACTATTATGGATCAATCTTTATCATAAAATGTTAAAACTTAGACTTTCCTCGTGAAAAACCTTTTGTAAGCTAAGATTCAAAATTAGAACGAGATGGTCCAAATTTGGAGCACTTAATCTTAAATCACTGTTATGATCTGATTTTCATCATGAATCATTGAAAATTAGACCCTTTTATCATATGAATTTTACTTTTCGTCAATTTTCGAAAAATGGCCCCAGGTTCTCCAAAGTTTTCACACCAATTTAGAATACCGAAATACTCAAAACTAGCCATTTTTGTCGAGAAACTTTGGAGAATGGTCGAAAAGTCGGACCGATCCTAAAAATTTTCCTCCTTAAGTCAAAAGATGTCAATGTACAAAATTTCATCAAAATATTTCAAAATTGTGACCTGTAGCTTGAACATAAATTTACATGAGCAGACAGCAGACGGACTGACAGGCCTAAGCTTGTGATCGATTCAGACAATGATTCTGAGTCGATTGGTATAATAAAAGGTGGCTCTATCTCAAGCCCTTCTGCGTGTTACATACGATTGCGTAAACTTAATATACTCGTACAACAAGTGTTGTAGAATATAAAAATGGAAAACTCTATTAAAAGTAGAGATAACGTTGCTCTCAATATTAAGAAGATTTTATTCTTAAAGCCTTTAAGAAAATAAAAAAAAAAAAAAGCCTTAGAGTCCTTCAAAAGCCGCTTTCGAAGAGGTTATATACATGTTAATTACTCCTTTTATTATTTGTTGTTGTGGCAATTTAATTGACTTCCACTCTCTCTCAACTCATAGTTATTGCCGCCTTATTTTGCTGTTTGATTTCTTTAAATCAACATTAATCGTTTGTTTTTCTACACTAAGTTTCTTTCTCCCTTTTGTTTCTCGTTTTTTTTTTCCCCTCAGTATTTATCCTCTTTATTGAAATGCTGTTAACCTTCTTTAGAAGGATTTTTCTATGCTCCATAATACTACCTCGCTGTCTCTCTTTATTTCCCCCTTCTCTTCTTCAATGACAATAACTTAATGCAAGTGTTGTTTGTGGATTTTGTGGTACAACAAGTTTGTGTTTAATCTGGTGTTTATTTACAATTCGTTTGTTCATTTGGAAGAAAGCAAAAAGACAAAGAATGCTTTGAGGCATTTTAATACCTACAAAACCCTTGGTATGGGTATCATTACAAAAAAAAAAACGAAAACAGAAAAAAAAAAAAAAACAAAAAGACAAGAATATCTTCAACAGTGCATCTCGCAATCTGCATCTTTTTAAATCATTTAAGTTTTGTTGTCAAAACCCTTACAATTTTTCATTCAGTTGAACAAAACAGCTCTTAAATTATGTTGTAAATCTAACGGTAGATTAAGTAAATTATGAAAATTGTTTTGCTTTACATTACGATAAAAATTTCGAAATTCATTTCACTACGCCCCAGCGAGAAACATTGTAAAATTGTAAAATTTATATGAATGCACTTTTTAAGGGAATCGACGTAAAATTAAACCGTATTTTTCAAATTCATTTTCTAAGTAAGTCAGCCTCGGTTTCTTAAAACTGCATACGAAATAGAAGCTAGAAAGACGTCGTTGTTCAACCATTTCTCATTGCCAATCCTTCTAAAACTCTTATAGAACAACTTCCATGGTTCCATGGGATAACTTTCTACAAGCGCGAAACTTATAAATAATCGGTTAGTAATTTAATTTTATCCCTTTAAGTTGTAGGAGGTGCAAAGATGAAGAATTTCTAGAATATAAGACGGCTTAAGTAACTGCTTGGCATACTTGTTACGATTAATTGATAGAAATCCTCGGTTTCTTATGTGTAAGTTCTAACATTATTAATATAACTGATAGCAACTCTGTTAACCTACCTGCACATTGAAAATATCTTGTTCGGTTATAAGGAAAAATGGGCTGCGACTCCCGCTGAAGTTGCTGCTGCAGCAGATTTCACTAATAAGGACATTCACGTAGCAGCAGCTGCCAACTGCGTCTGAAAAATATCTAGTGAAATAGTGAGGAAAAGTATTGTTGCAGAGGACTACAGCAGCTGTGGATTTATAAAATGCTTTATTAAATGATAAGAAATAGATACTACTACAGCTACCACTACGGCGAACACTGTAACATGTGAACATTATGCTTACTGCAGCAATGGCAGATTCGTTTTCCTTATTATTCAACAGCGCACTGTCGAGAAGTCGGCAGCAGCTGCTGCTCACTTTAATCTAAAGAAATAAGCAAACCTCGTTAGCTTAGGTACAGCTTGTTAGCTACCAGTAACTGCAGCGACAATCGCCTTCGTGTAGTATCATCTCAGTGCTTTATGAAAGTGACAAAAGTCCCAGCTTATATTTTTTAAGTTTAATTGGAATTTCGGTTTTGTAAAAAATCGCATAATCTGAGGGATATAGGAATTTTAGGTACGTCAATCTTGTGCCCGTTAATAAATGCAGAACTGTGGAAGTGGTGTTGAAAATAAACAATGTGTTATTCTTTCATGGATACATGGCAATTCCAAACTATTTAATTTTTTTCCGTCCTTCAAGGCGGGTGCATGGTAATGGCTAAGGAGACAGGGTTGTACAACGAACGCTAAGATCCTACCAAAGCCCGTTATAATATGCCTGACTTTATCTCTCTCTCTCTCTCTCTCTCTCTCTCTCTCTCTCTCTCTCTCACTCTCTCTCTCTCTCTCTCTCTTACTCTTTGTCTCTCTCTGTCTCTCTCGCTCTTTGTCGCTTTTTCTCTCTTCTCCTTCTTTATAATTGCCTTTCTTCCAATTATAACTACTTGCTATATACTTCCGAAAGAGTCTGTTTCTATCCTCCTTCTTGCCCTCGATACTTATTCGCTTTTAATACTAGAAATGTCCGAACCTAACCCTCTGTTCTCCAATTTATACAAATTTATTAACTCCCTTCTCGCTCTTATGCTTAATGATCTAATTTCATTAACTTTCTCTTTTTCCCTCATCTCTCATGAAAACTTCTTTAGATAAGCACTAAAGAGAAGAGTGTTAAAAGTGTCTCTAACGCATCCATCAATCTATTTGCATTAAACCGAAAATACTAACTTCTCGACGTATGTACAATGTAGGAAATGATAAGCTGCTACAGCAACGAAAAAAAAGGAAAAAAAATGTCTTTTTTATTTTGGAAAAAGAATCAAATATCAGCTAAATATAATATAAAAAAACAGTCATATACGAAAGTTTGTAATTTTATATATACGAAACTGTAAAACACATTAGAAAAGCAGAATTGTAAGCAACGCAATAGCGCTGAATAACTGAAATGGCGTCATCGCAATGGCAGTTTTATTGACATTAAAAACGTAAGAAGCTTCAGATGCGCTTTTATCTTGCGATCTTACTACAGAAACATAGCTACAATGTATGTATACCAGTCGCTTAAACACATATACAGACGCACACACATACTGTGTATACAATTGCATTGGTTGCTTAAGTAACAAAATACTCAACAATGAATGCATGGAGTCTTTTCGTTTAGCCTTTCGTTCACTCCGTCTAACTTACACAACGAATCCGTACTTAATAGTGCGAT